CCAAGAAGTGCCAGCTATTTCAAGGTAAAGTCAATTATCTGGGTCATATAGTCAGTAAAGAAGGAGTGGCCGTGGATAAGGGAAAAATCGATTCTATTAAGGAATGGCCAAAACCAACTGACAAACATCAAGTGAGAAGTTTTCTGGGACTGTGTACTTACTACGGAGGTTTATTAAGAAGTTGTGCAGATATCGCTAAACCATTAACGCGACTTACAGAGGAAGCAAGAGAATACGCTGGATGTAGACTGCCAGAATGCCTTTGAAACCTTAAAAAAGCATTTAATCACAGCACCAATTTTAGGGTATCCACTGCCAGAAGGAGAGTTCATCTTAGATACAGATGCAAGTAATGTGGGAATTGGAGGAGTGCTGTCTCAGATTCAAGGAGGACAGGAAAGAGTCCTTGGATATTTTAGTAAAGTTCTCTCAAAACCTGAGCGAAATTATTGCGTCACGAGAAGAGAACTTCTGGCAGTAGTGAAATCAGTAGAGCACTTCTATCAATACCTCTATGGAAGGAAGTTTTTAATCCGAACCGACCATGCCGCCCTTAAGTGGTTGATGCAGTTCAAGAATCCAGAGGGTCAGATAGCCAGGTGGATCGAACGACTCCAAGAATATGATTTTAAGATTGAGCACCGGGCCGGAGTTAGCCACCGAAACGCTGATTCTCTTTCCAGAAGGCCATGCCCAGCAGAGTGTTCTCACTGCAACAAAACGGAATCCAAGGAAGCAGCAGTGCTAAGAACGACGGTGGTCCACGACGACTGGACGCCTACCAAGATCAGGGAAGAACAAGAGAGAGATCCAGTTATACAGAAAATCCGAAAATGGAAAGAGGAAAACCGTCGACCACCTTGGCAAGAAATATCGAACCTAGGCTCAGTAGTTAAGACGTATTGGGCCCAGTGGGACTCATTTATCATGGAAGATGGCTTGCTCAAACGAGTCCTGGAAAATGATGACGGTTCAGAGAAGAGAAGACAGTTGGTGATTCCAAAGAGCAGAATAGCCGAAGTACTTCGTCAGTTACACGACAGTCCATCAGGAGGGCATTTTGGTGTGAAGAAGACCCTTCAGCGAATTCGGGAACGGTTTTATTGGATGAACAGTTCCGACGATGTAAAAGACTGGTGTAAGAAATGTACTATTTGTGCTACGAGTAACGGGCCTTATCGAAAAAGGAGAGCTCCTATGAGACAATATAATGTTGGAAGCCCGTTTGAAAGAATAGCTTTGGACATTGCTGGGCCGTTTCCAGAAAGTGATAATGGAGGCAAGTACATGTTGGTAGTAATGGATTACTTCACTAAGTGGGTCGAGATTTACGCACTTCCAGACCAGAAGGCGGCCACCGTTGCAGATAAGTTGATCCAAGAATATATCAGCCGATTTGGAGTGCCTTTGGAGATCCATAGTGACCAAGGCAGGAACTTCGAAAGCGATTTATTCCAAGGAATATGTGATAGACTAGGTATGAAGAAAACAAGGACTACGGCTTATCATCCGCAATCGGATGGTATGGTAGAACGAATGAATAGAACAGTTGGCAAGTATTTGACAAAGATGGTGTCCGATCATCAGCGAGACTGGGACCAATATCTCCGTTTTTCACAATGGCCTACAGATCTGCTGTTAATGAATCAACAGGCCAGACACCAGCCAAAGTCCTATTCGGACGCGAGATGCGACTACCTTGTGATCTAGAGTTTGGGTGTCGACCTGGAGAAGATGTAGCAGGTGAAGATTATGTGATCGAATTACGAAGAAGAATGGACGATGTTCACGAGTTGGTCCGTTCTCATCTCCAGATCGCTAGTGACCGAATGAAGAAACGGTACGATACGCAAGCCGAAAAGGGGTGTTTTAAGAAGAACGATAAAGTCTGGCTTTATAACCCCAAAAAGCGAAAAGGTTGTTCTCCCAAATTGCAGCAGTTTTGGGAAGGTCCATACCTCATTATGGAGAAGATCAATGATGTTATTTACCGAATAAGCAAGATTCCGAGGGGAAAGCCGATGATAGTACACCATAACCGGCTGGCGTCTTTCGAAGGTGACCACGACGTAGATGAAGAAGTGGAAGTAAACCAAGTCCAAGATGTGTCTGACCTCACGTTTAAGGAATTCATGGGTGCCTATGGAGGTACCGGTAAAGCAAGACATGGTGTTACCACTGAAGAAAGGCAAGATCTACTCGCGCTTCCCGATGACTACTCACTGGCCCTTACCATCCCGGCCAGTATCAAAGATGCACCAGGGTTGGCATCCGTCTTTCGAAGGAAGTTTGGTCGAGTTGCAGAACTTCAATGCCAAGTGCCAGCTCCTGGTAAAACCTTGAAACTCCAAGATGCATCACGTTACCTTTTCTACCTGGTAACAAAAGACACTGCCCGTGACCAACCTACCTACGGAGATGTATGGGAAGCTTTACTTCGATTGAGAGAGCACGTACTAGAGTCCGACGTGCAAAAGTTAGCCATGCCAAAGTTAGAGTGCCACCAATTAGATTGGAGGGTTATTCGAAGTATGGTGGAGGAGATCTTTAGAGACACCGAAGTCCAGGTGTTAGTCTGTTGCAATCCGCATAGTTACTGGTGCGGAGAGAAAACCGTCCCTTGTCATTTTTATAAAACTGGAAGTTGTAAAAGAGGGTCCAGTTGCCGATACCAGCATACCGTTTCAGTTCCAGTCCCGACAAGGTTCCAGGAGGAACCATCTTTTAAGAGGGGGGCAATGTTACGATAATTATGGCGTTTATAACTATCAATATATTATGACTAATTCTGTTTTCTGTTCCAGTAAATTCGAAGTTGTTTACAGAAACCTCTAGACCCTAATTTTATGAGTAATACACGTCTCGAGGTTGAAAAACGAGTCGAGCGCCTTCACCAAAATACGAGATCATTCCAGTATTTTCGACAAGGGTCAGGTCAGGTCTAGGCGGTCTTACGGTTCTTTATATAAGGACGAAATTTTATTGAAGAAGTCAGTCATAAGAAGCTCGGGAACCGCGATATTTAAATGTAACGAAACGTTAATAAATTATTTGTAATATAAATTAGAATTAATAAAGACTTTAATAAATTCGTAATTAGTTATCGTGAGTTTTAATAAATTAGAATATAGACAATAAATTAGAATAAAGACAAATAAATTAGAACAATATAAATAAACCTAACAATGTCATCAGGTACATTAGGAAGTTTTGGAAAATTTTCTTCAAGGTTTGATAATAACGAAAATTTATTATTACTAACAAATCCGGAAAAAGATGATTCTTTATATCTTTTGGCTTCTAGAAAGGAGATTTTTTGATCTAGCATAATGTTTTTAATTTTTTTTTGTTCCTCATAAACGGGACAACTTTTGGAGATCGAAATATGATCTTTATTTTTACAATGTATACAAAAAGTTTTATTAGTGTCGCATATGTGACTATCATTTTTAATTTCTGCACATCGTATACAAAATTCTTGTGTGCCCTTGCATTGCTTAGAAATGTGACCAAATTTCAGACACTTGTAGCACTGTATTATCCTGCCTACAAATCTTTCTACTGGCAAATACACAAAATTAACTACGACATAAGTTGGCCAAACATTTCCTTCAAATGTAACTATAATATTTCGTCTGGGGACGTATTCTGTTTTACCGTCTTTATCTACCTTTCTATGCATTCTTTTAATGTCAGTAATTTTAACGGAAGAGTCTATATGTTTTTTTAAATAATCAGTACCATACCTCGTATCTACATCGTGAATTATTCCCTTGATTTCCAAGAGATGGTTAGGGATATAGGCTTTTAAATTTTCATCCTTTAACTTATTATGTGTTACTAGATGATTTGCATCCAAAATTGATTTTAAAATAACTTTAACTCTATTTTTTCCTATAGATTTAATTTCCTTTAGATTTTTGATTTTAAGTTTTTGATGCAAAATTTCCCCCACAATCATTGGATGTAAACGAGAAATGTTCTGATTATTTAAATTCTCGATATATACGCAACAGCTATGAAAATCATAATTATTAGAAGAAATGTTATAAAGTTTTACTTCCCTTGTTTTGTCAGTTTTATCACCGGAACTCGCACCAATTTCCATGTCATGTTCTGGAGAACTTGTCGCAACACTTAAATCGCACATTTGCGTCTTATTGTTATTTTCCTCCCCCATTAGGGGAGGTAAATCACTTATTTTCACAAAAATTCCAAATATTTAACCGATATATTTACACAAAATTTAAGTTATAAATATAAATATTGATTTTTAATCACCGCAAAAACTTATCTGCCGCTTAATGTGATTTTAAGGATCGTCTGTTTACTGTGAATGCTCGCAACGGAATGAATTTAAAAGTTAACGTGTCCCAAAATTTTTTATTATTTTCTATAATCTTCTATATTTTCTATTTTTTATAATGACACAAATAATTTTATTCCACAAGTGGTTTCCACACTGTATTTACTATTGTATATCTTAAAAAATATGGACCTGCAAATTGAGTAAAAAAAGGAAAGTGGCCCAACAACAGAATCAGAAATATTGGATCGACAATAATTCTTGCTTTGATTTAGTACACAAACTGGGACTGTCTTTAAAAATTGAAATAGGTATATAATAAAAATGTATTTTGGTTTGTGCGTTTGTGCCAATGAGAATCTTATCAGTTAAGAAATCACACGGAGGATAATTCTAGCAAACAAGTGCTATTTTGGGCTGAGTAGGTAATAATATACATTTAATTGAACAAGAAACATGTGATTACCTCAAAAGCAGACGAAAACCTTTTACTTATTGAGCAAAGGATGTTGAGGAAATAGGAGATCTAGATTTAGGAGATCTAGATCTTGGGATCTAGGAGATCTTATAATATAGAGATCACAGAAGCGACGTAAAGAAGAAGATTTATGAGGAAGGATGTTTATGTAAATAAAACAAATGGCTTTCGGGAAGCGGAAGACGGCCAATGCTGTAATTGCTTATTATTACTTACCCAATATTTGACAACAAAGCGAAACAAGAATTTTGAAAGAATTCAGTGATGCTTTTTCTTCCATTTGGGCGTCTTGCACTGTATGGTTCATTCTCGTCATATTTAAAGATGTATTATTAAGTGTAGTATTCTGGAATTGATTTTGGTTCTTGCTAACGGTTGATAGTTGTGTATTTCGTGCTAGGAAATTATGGAGAGCAGTTAGATTATTAAGAATAAATATGCAGTCATCACTGGAAACGGTACTGTATGTCTAAAATAAAAAAATAAAAGTGTATATAGTATAATGTATGATACCTTTGCTTAACAATTATTTAACGGTAGGTAAACTGATATTAGTGATCATATTACTATATCACGATATTTTGGCCTGGCTTATTTAAATAATAGCAATACGTGGATGCTCTGAAAAGTTCTTGCAATTTTATATCGCGTCTGCTAAGATAAATAACGTTATCCTAAGGGATAACCCTACACCGTTTTAAAGATAGCGTTCTAACGTTGCTCATTTTAAATATCTTCAGAATTGTTGTGTTCCAAACGATCCTATTTTGTACACTTATTTTAGTGGAAAGTTTTATGGCGTTTTTATTTCAGTTATAAGCGGCTCGTCTGAGGAGTTTTGGATATTTTTTTCATAGATCTTTTGTTTTCCAAAATTCATTTTGACATATTAAACAAAAATAGATTTTGTACTAAAAAATACTGCTTTCTGCGAACCCTAAGACACCGTTTTCTAGAAAAATCAATATCAATTTTTCATATCTCAACTGATACGTTTTCGTTGACTAACGAATGCAATTCTAATTGTTGAATGGAGTTATGGAAAATAACAATTAAGCATATGAGGATGAAAAGCCGGTAAAACCAAAATTTGAAATTCTACAGGGGGACAAAAAACTGGATGATATCAAGAATCATTAAAATTCGTGATTGGCAGGGTGTTTTAACCCTTTGTGTACTGGTGGGCTAAGCATTAGGACACATTTTAAACAATTTTTATGCTGTAGCTTGGTGTCTATAGCGCCTCCATACAGTCAATATGTGGATTGACGAGATCCATTCCAACAACTCAAATTTTGTTTGGGTGACCGTTGGCAATATTTTTATCGTGAGTATTTTACGGTGGTCGAGCACGTGGTTGATGGTGCTGTAATAATTATCAGTTTTCCAAGATTTTTAATAAAATGACCGGTAAGTTTTTCTAAAAAAATATTGTATAGGTAACCTATATTTGTACTTCTGTGCTAATGTTCACTGATGAATGTAGTACATACACCTTGTAATTTTGGTGGTGGCGGTGCTGGGACAGAAGGCAAACGCATGCTTATTTTTTAAAGACAAAAATAATTATTCCATTGCTGATTTGAAATGTATGTCTTAAGAGGAAATATTTACTCTTATTGAAGACACTTCGTCTGATGTAGATTCAGATATGGATTACTGCTCCGAAGAAAATGGAAAAACAGATTTAACAACAAATCTGAATCAAAGTATTTTTGATATAGAATCGACTTTATACTAACCAATTTTAGATTTAGAAATTCCATTACAAGCGTTAAGACTTACCCTGGAGCAGATGTCCAATCAGACCATAACCTCCTTGTCTCAAAAATAAAACTGAGGGTAAAAAAGATAATAGAATCCAAAAGTTTTAAGGTGAATACTCAGTTGCTCAAGAATTATATCAAGATTAGTTGCTCAAGATTAATATTAGAAACGAAAAACACTGAGAATGTGAACATTAAGTGGAGCAAAATCAAGGATTCTATTGTAAAGACAAAGAACGAAACTCTAAAACCTCTCTAAATTGGGACATTTCCTTTTGATATACGGTTCACTATTACTACTGTCAATCATATTAATTATTTGTCACCAAATTGAATTACCTCAATTACTCACAAATCACAAAAGTAAATGTGCCTTCCACTAATAATACTACAAACAATTATGTTCTCTGCTTTATGAAACCTCTGTCACTGTGCTTATGAAACTGATTTACAGATAGCATACAATAAAACAACTACCCGATCAATGACGTTGTTGCCAGTTACATCGCCTTAATCTGCTACGACATTGTTGATCTCGGACATTATCTACCTATAGAGAAATATATAAACCACAGCATTGCAGATAACTTCAAGTTAAATCATACATGCAGAAAACGTTACATTTTACCTAGAACCCAAATCTTTTCAAAACATTTGAATAGTTTAAAAATAGACCTGTTAAATTATTAAAATACATTTAATTTGAAATGAAATCTCTTATATCTGAAAGTATATTATTTGAACAGTCAGAAAAAGGTTTTTGTCAATTATTAAGAGATTAAACAGATTCTGCAATAATCCACAAATTTGTTTATTAAATAATAATTAAATTTTTCCCCTTTTGTCGGTATTCCAACAACAAGACTATTTTTTTCGGTTCAATTTTACTGACCTATAACAAACCATTAAAACATGAGTGACTCGCTATAATTGTGGTACTTGGCTTTAGGAATCATGAATCATGTTTCCCTATTATTAGATATGCCTATATTTCCCTATTATTAGATATTCCCCTATATTATTAGATAAATAATTTTTTGTACTTGGAAATTAATGTAACCCAAAATAATAAATAAATAATTAATTCCTTTACTAGCAGTGTAACAACTAACTATATACTCGTTTGAAATACTCAATCATTTTACATTATGTGCAATTCTGATCAAGTATATTCTTAGCCAAAGGAAAATATGCATTGATAGATAAAAGTTCAAATCGATATTCCTCAAAAACTTGAAACCTAACAGAAATATATCGGAGAAATGTAGTTAAAGGAAACTGGCTTCGCATGTAATGACCAATAAAATAAATGATGATAGTTTTACGATAAATAAAAACGGGATAAAATTGTGATGGTTATAATCACTTCAATAAGATTACCTACATTACATACAACGAAATCAGTATAAAATACTGAACACATATATTGAAAATATGTTCGTAAAACACAGTTTTAAATAAGGAATAATGATCGAAGAGAATAAAAGGATCAAAAGTATCAAATAAAAATAAAATGTTGATTCTGGGATCAAAAAACTTCTCTATGAGCAGTGCAAAAAGTTAATTAGATAAAAATTAAAAAAATATTCTGAAACTATTCTTTTTTTTTAAGATACATTAAAAATAATCTACTTAAGCCTATTTGCAGCAGCATTGATTTTCAACCTTTAAAAAAATCACACAATTTTTGCAAAAAAAAACACATTTTCTAGAAAAGTAATAAAAATTCAATTCAAATCACATAATTATTAGTAAGTTTTGATGAAAATAAGTTTAATTTAAGATATAAAAATGATGACATTTTAAAAAACAAAAAACCAAAATAAAATCACTAAAATTTGTTCCCAAATCCCAAATAAGCTGCTTAAGACTGAAATTAAAAAACGTTTCCCCACTATGACTGCATTCTATTCGACTGCATAAATGTATAATACATTTATGCAGTCTTAACATTTAACTTAACATCACAATAGTTAGATAAGAAAGCTTTTTGTCTTTAAGTTTTCTCCTTTTTTGCTGCCATATAACTACAAAGTACATTTGTTAAAGCAAGTAATAGTTTCGGTACATATCTCAACATTTCAAGTGATCCAGATCCTACATTATAACACGGTACATCAAGATCTTTCTGATACTGCTATTAGTACATTTAAATTATCTGGGATCATTGTTTAGTTGCAAAATTGCATGGAATAAATCTTTTATAAAAAAATATATAAACGCAGCAACGAACTTGATGCAATAACTTTTTTGCGATTTAAATGATATGAGCAAACTGAATTATCTATCTAACATACTTACAAACAAGACCATCTTGAAACTATAATAATTTAAGATTCATTAGCAGTTTAGTTTTACTGCCTATAAATAATACGGTACAATGAGAATTGCTCTACACAATATTTTTTACTTGTAATTACAGATATCTTTATTTTTGGAGTTATACTTCTATACGAGCGTTCGACGTTGGAAATGTGTACGGGAGTGAATCGGCAAAATCATTAAATATGTAAGAAATAGGTAAGAGAGAGACAGAAGATATATTTTCTCTTTCTCTCTCGAGAAAAAACCGTTCCTTTTGTAAATATATTTAATATTATTATTATTTTTCCATTCTGTTCAGATTTGTCTTGAGCCTCGTTAGGCATGTTAAATTATAAATTAAAACTTGGAAATATTTCAAGAAAGTTCAAATGTGTACTTATATACACAACAAACAACAATTAAATTTTGTATCTGTCAATGTCAGACAAATTGACAGTTGTATCACGAAACAATATGTTTATTTTATTAATTTCTATCATGGTAAATAAAACATCCGTAAGTAAGTTATGTATATTGTCATTTTTAAATACTTATGAATATTGTTATATACATACATATATATATATATATATATATATATATATATATATATATATATATATATATATATATATATATACACCGGTATTTAGGCGGTACGCCCTTCCGGTATGGATCTATGGAGGAGTATCACCGAGACACAAGCCCTTATTTTTTGCCGTACTGCTCCACCATAGGCCGATCAGACACCTGCATATTCTGGTCTAAGTTGCAGATTCATGTAGAATTTTAAACTGCTGCGTTAGCCTTTTTGTTTTCTATACATTGCATTTTAATTTGTATTATATTATTATATTGAATTATGTTGCAGTGTATTGTATTGTATTTTTATATTAATAACAAAAGAAACTCCTTTCACATATATATGAAAATAAAAATATACATTTTCATCAAAATATTGATTCAATCCTTCATTAACTATACTCCTATTACAGGTCAAATGTTGTTTACATAGAGCAAACGATGCACCATATCTTTTTCTGCTCTCTCTTACCTACAGCATTACATATGTAATGATTGTGCAGATTGACTCCCATATAAATTTGTAACGGCGAACACGTGTATAGAAGTATAACTTCTACCGGCAGTCCCAATGGACTACCACACCCGTTTTTTTATTTCTAAACTTTATTCTTTCCTTAGAATGACGACCCAAAAATATTTTAATGTTATATAATCAGATATCATAACTTATTTAACATGGTTTGATCTATGTCGTCAAAAAACATAGGAGACTTAAGATAAAAAAAAAAGAAACTTACTGTAGAAACCTTTCCATCAACAGAAAGTTTATCAACCGTTCTCAAGTTCCAAACTGGTCGCAATATTCTACTTAAATACAAATATAAACTATTATGTTTCGCCGAAAAAACAAATGGACCGGTGAATTCATATCCGGTAGTATTTGGCACTGTTGGCAGTGTTTGTGACATATTAGGCTGAAAGTGTTGAGCGGTTTGGAACTGCTGAGACTGGTATTGGTGTGGAGCAGGTGTTGATATTATTTGAGGAGCAAATACGCTGGGTCCGGCATCTAAAGGATAATAAAATATTAATACATATATAGGGTGATTCATTAGTAATATAGTGTCTTTGCATCTAGACTTTTTTAGAGCAACAACATCACTACAACGATGGGTTATAAAATAAATGGAGAAAAATAAGGATCATGGTAATATAGCTACCAACAATATCACCATTGTAGACCAGTTGGTGTACCAAGAGCCTTGATAACTAATTTCAACGAGAAAGAAGAAAGAGATCAGCAATTGTAAAAATGCTATATCTAAATTAACGAAAATCTAAAATATCGAAATAATCATACCAAAATCAGACTCCTAAGAAGCTTGGTCTTACAGTTTTCGTATTTTCGTTTCGTTGTCAGAATGCGCGATAATCACAATATGAAGAGAAAAATGGAAGAAGATAAATATAAATTCATGAAGTCGTGATATCACGATACTTCGTAACAGGTTAACCATTGTTACGAAGATGCTAATACAATAAGGTTGACAACATTAGTGAATAATTTATTTTACTTGGCCTATTTCATTCCCTTATTTTTTTAAATATGTTAAAAATCGATGTTTACTGTTTTGATCGTACATAGAAAATCAACTGTCAGAATTGATTGAAATGCACAATTCAACATCGGGAAGTAAAAAAACATGAAGCATACTGAAAGTATAAAAGTATTTACAGTTATTGCCAGGGAGACTGGTTCAGCTCTAATATTTTAATTTAGCCTTAAACAAAATAATGGAAATCATGAACGAAATCGATGTCGGCTACAAAATGGGAAAATCGATCAGTGGAAATTACGTACTAGGCAGACAATATAGTTCTTTTTACTGAGTGCTAAGATGACCTGCAACTAATACCTGACATACACGAAAGTTAAATATGCTAATCCGTTACCAAAAGAAAAAACTGTACACAGAGTCATCAGGGAAACCAAGCAAGAGGTGTTACGGATGCTGAATATGATCTTTACACATGCTGAAATGACGGGATGCAATACTATGGTCTGCAAGTGTATTTTAACGTAAACTTAGAATGAGAAAAATTGAAATGGGAACAATTGTCTGTATAGGAATTTAAATATTTAAAGTACAAAATTATTAAAAATTTTAGTTCAAATTACAAATGAAATTTTACTTACATAAATTGGCTGGCGCCAGTTTAGGTTCTCCACCATACAAAAAGAAAGCCCTTGTGGCATATTCTGCAACTTCAACGTTCTCATCACTCTCTAAAGAAGCCAGAATCAAACAAGTCGCGCAAGCTTGGTCCTCTTTTTGAATCGTAAAAAACGTCTTAAGCGCTTCTGTGTCTAAACCTTGACTATCTCTAAGTATCTGATTGAGAATATCAACTGGCCTCAGTTTAATAAAGATCTGGACACTGTGAGATGTTAGGACCACATATTTCTTAGGTGGTTCCGCATGTTGTCTGACAACCAGAGGTGGCGCTTCTTGGTTTGATGGTAATGGTAAAGGAGTTGGATGCCGTACCTAAAATAATAAACAAAAACCACTGATATCACATTTGTGTCCTGACTCTTAAGTTGGGGCTTAGATTAGTAAGGCCTCTTGGAATTAGATACTTGCTGACTGGGACTAATCACCTAAAACCCGGAGAAACACCTTAGTGTAAAACATATCTGCCAAAAAATGCGATCTCTACGTCCACAAAGACGTGAGTCGCACAGAAAATTCATGCATAAACAGACAAGAGTTGAAAGACGAGTTTCCGGCGCCTTAAAATTGTAACCTAACCTAATTTAACCTAATGTCAGCTAACTGTGTGTGACAAGGTCCTTTCTCATATTTTATGTAACATATTTTCTGTCATGATATTCTCGTCGGAATATATCTAAAGATATTCAAGAAGGAATCAAAATAAATGAAGAAATTGAATAACTGGTGCGATGAACATGGTATGAGAATTAACATTAGGAAAAGAAAACTCATGACCATAAGCAGATCATAATAAGTGCTAATACCAATGTATATCCGAAGTTAACACCTGAAAATAAAGGATACAGATAATAAACATGAAAATGTTCCTTGGTGTAGAAATTAAAAGGGGCATTGATATAGCTAGTGACATTCTGTGATACCTGATTATAGTTAACTGTATATCCAAAAATTATTAACAGTTATACATATAGTTTAAAGTTTTATAATTTGCTAGTTGTGTATAAGTTCACTTACCTCTGATATAGCTAATGCTGGTCCATCCAGATTTACAACACTATAAGCCTCCATCAAAGTCTGACCAAAGGGAAACATATCTGAACTCATGCACCAAAGCACATCTTTGTCATTAACAGTCGAAATCAGTACCAAATTTCTGTCGCTATAATGCGACACATGTACAGCTCTAGGTCTTACAGTTATATTGGCCGAATATCCTGGTGGTAGACGTACATGAGCTAAAGTTAGAGTATATGGTCTCTGGTTTGGTTGCATATTGGAGAGACTAACTACTGTTAGGTAAAATCGAACTCCTGTTTGGGATACAGCAACTAGATTCAAGTTGGCAGATTCTGTGGCTTCAATAGCTGATATACTGACTATTGGTCTAAAGTTTTGACTATCTAAAGTTCTAAAACAAAATAATATTTACAAATACTTTAACAACAGTTATACGGAGCAAAATAGTTCCAATAGTCAAATGTGTGCTTTTATTTAAAGCCAGGAATCATAGATGTAAGTCTACTTTTAGTCTAATAACTGACCAACTTTTCTGGTTTATTACCAGACATACCTTAATTACAATTGAAAAAGAATGCATATCATAATGTTCAAGATTTAAACAAACTAAAAAGTGCCTTTTAACAAAAAATGCTGAAATAGATAGATAACATTCATAATAGACAAAATTTATTTCTTACTTTACAGTATTCATAGCTTGGTTTACTAGAGTATTTTGGCCCAATTTTGCTATCCTTGAAAAGGTATTTCCTTTTTCACCCAAATCACAAACTTCTATAGTTCCTTTTTCTGTTAAGGTGTACAATATATGCCGACTCTCGTCTATTGAAATCTGACAAATTCCATCTTCTTCACTAAGGGCAGCATTTAAAAATGAAGGAACTAGAAAAGATAGGGTACTTGTAGACAAGTTTACCTTTTTACATCTTTGCCCAAACCAACCACTTTCTGCCTAAAAAATTATTTAAATATTACAGATACAAGCAAAAATCTTTTCATTCAAAAAAAATTTGAATATTTTGCAAGAATTAAATCCTTTCTTTTTAATCATAAATTAAATTAAAATGAATTATAAGATTATTAATTAAGATATTAATTTTATTTATTGCGTAACCTTTTCCTCAGTTTAAATTGTGATTTCCAGACTTTCTGAAAGATTTCTGCGGTTAGTACAATTAAACATAAAGCTAAGATTAATACTATTACAAGAATTAATATTAAACTCAATAGTCTTCCGAATTAATATTGAACCGCGTCCATTATCATTGCGCCGAGCTTTCGACATCCTTTTTGATGTCTTCTTCACTTCAGGGCTTCCGAGGTCCCAGTCTTCAGAGCCCCCTACTACTACTACTACACCTACCACTAACCAATGCATCACTGCCACTGGGAATGGAGACGGTTCATTTATACCGATGGTGACGTGGTTTGGGTGGTGAATGGCGTGGGGTTAGCGTGAGGATTGGCGCGAACATTTCTTACAATAGGATCTTGAGCTGAAATTGAATCGCAATTGCGACAGAAATGGAATGTTCATAAATTCTATTTTGGATTCTACGATTTGTTTGGCCTATATAGGATAGGAGACAGTTGTTTTCTGTGTTGTTTCTGTTCTGTCATTTGGAATGTTTGTTGTCTTTGACTGATTAGACAAGAGATGAAAGTTTTTTAAGTATTGTCTTTATTTCCCTTGATTTAAGAATTTTGTATATTTTGTCAGTGACACCTTTGATGTAAGGAAGAAAAGCTTTCATATGATGATAAAGTCTTTGGGTTGAGACCGAGTGGGAGCTTGATGTCTGTGGATGCTTCTATTGATGTGATTTTCTCGGTAACTGTTTCGAATGAGGACTTGTTATAAATTAGAGTGCTTAGAGGGTCTACTTGCTCATCGCAAAAGCATATTGATCTGGAGACAAGGGTGTTAATGACTGAATTAATTTGTGAAGGTGGATGATGAGAGTGGGCATGCAAGTAACAATTGGTATGGTGGGTTTTCGATAAAGTGATGAAAACCTTGGTTTTGGTTTTTCTTTATGATAACGCCGAGAAACAGTAGTGATGAATCAGTTTCCACCTCCATTGTGAACTGGATAGTAGGATGTATACCACTCAGGTGGCTTTCAAAAGACACCAAAGCATCACAAGATATTGTAGCCAATATGTGGATTTGAGCATTGATGTGAGTAGTGCCTGGATCTCGAGGTCTTCCATAAAGATATTACTGGAGATAGTGGGGAGTCCATTGGAGCACTATTTATTTGTCTGTAGAATTGATTTATGAAAGATGAAATAAGTGTTGGACATACAATGTTTAATGAGAGATAAGTGGTCTTGCTGGATACTGTATTTAGTTTTCAGGATGTTTAGAGTTTGATCTATAGAAACATTTGTAAAGAGAGAAACGATATCGAAACTTACTAGAATGTCTGACAGGGAGATAAGGTATTGTGTAGAAGTTTGATGAAATGAAAAGAATTTTTGACGAAGGATGAAGTATTTTCAGTGAGAACTTGTAGAGTTTTGGCCAAGTACATGACCAATGGTTGTGTAGGTCAGTTATATGCACTGACAGTGGGACGAATAAGAATATCGGGTTTGTGAATTTTGGCTAGGTTATATATTCAAGGTGTTCTGGAAGATTTTATATTCACAATAAGTGACAAAACAATATCTAATTCTGAGGAATTAGAGATTGTTTTGTTACCATGAAGAGAGGTTTTGTTGATAATGGCGTTTATTGTTTTCTAAAGTAGATTATTAGGAATTGGTCTGTAGTCTGGAGTATTAATGAGATTTGAGAGTTTAATAATGTATGAAGAATCGTTTAGGACGACGGTGCATTGCCTTTATCGGCGGGAAGAATGACTAGATTTGGATTTGAGCAAAGTCCTTTCAGGACTTTTTTTCGGGTTGGCTAATGTTCGGAGTAGGAGGCTTTGAGTTTCTAAGAATTCTAGCGATGTCATGTCCAGCTATTCTAGCACATTCAGAAGGTAAACTGGAGAAGGCTTCTTCAGTTTGACATCTCCAAACTAATTAACAACTAAAATTAAGTTTCAGTTGTTAGTTAGTTTGGATATCTTCATTGATTTGGTAATTCTATATGTATCTACTCTCACAACTATAATGCTCTCCTTATATCAAATATAAAAACTTTCTTAATTATTATTAACATTGGGTTCAACAAAATACATTCTATTATATTTTAGTGTAATTATTAATGTAAAAATATTTCAAAATGCTTTTGAGATATAAATGTTATATAACAAACTAACTTGATAGTATATTTCAAAGAGCTTTCCCTCTTTTGTGCCATAAAAAATTCTTCCATCATTAGTACTACTGATGATAGTAACAGTAGCACCATCAGTTGGTAAACTAAAAACTGGGTCTGGTATCAACTGAATTTCCTCTGTGGTATCACCTGGTTTCTCAGTAAAAGTTACACCTAAAATTTAAAAACAATATATATGAATAAAATTGTTTAGCTATCAACCTATGAACAACCTTATAAGAAAAACTAATACTAATGCTACTGCAGTTTTTTTGTTCTAAAAAAAAAATAAACATAAACTTTAACAAGCATGTGATCCAGACTAAATTACACAATATAGTAAGGATTTCTGTGTATCATGTCAAACAAACAATTGTACACTTGTTAAAATACTTCACATGAACAAAATGTTTTGGTACCAAAAAAGGGATTTAAATTATAAAACTATATATTTTTTTTGAAAATCATAAAAATAATTTTACATTTTAACATATTCTACAACTTTTCTGTTTATATTTATAATTGGCTTATACTTATATTGTAGTTGAAGATAGATAAAGGGAAAAATAAATGGAATAATATAAATGAAGGACACACCATTAGACATTCTCAGTACAGAAAAGGGAGGATCAGACTTTGCTTAATAGATGGTATATGACAGGAGTGAGAGGGACATGAGTGCACATCTGACATCATTTGGTGTATTTCAATTGGTGACTATTACCCCTATAAATCTAATTTTTACTAGCTTCTACCATAGGGCAGCATTATTCAAAGTATCAGATAATCATACAAAAACATAAAGTTTCAATACAATATAATATAAATATCATATACTAATATAAATGAAATTGACAATAAATGAAAAAAAACAACAATCAGAATATTTATAATGGATTGACATAGAAAATATAATTATGAAGTAACTTTCCTCATAAAAAATAGAGAACAGTAAAATAATAATATTAATGACATCATTGAATGGTTGGGAAAAGAAAAATACTTAAAATTATTAAGTACTTTATGTGTATACTATATTATTAAGTCCATTAAGTAACAATAATTATTCTTGTTCTGATAAATTCTAAACAAAAGTTGATTTTAAAAAAGCCAGAAATAACATTGGTTTGACAAATTTGACATCAACACGAGAAAGGACAAAGTCTGTAAATGATGCTTAAAATATTAAACACCACATACATAATAAAAAAAGTTAAGTGGGCCAAAATATTAAACAAATTTACAGTATTCGTTTATGCATTCTAAACAGTTATCCTTCAGTTTGAATACAAAATCTTATATTTTTATTGTTTTTTAGAACTATTTTAATTGAGTAGCAAGTTTGCATCTTGTAGGCACAAATAACTATTGGATTCATGGAGTCATGTGATGTACACCTGTCTCTAGTATAAAACAGTAATGAAATTGTAACTATAGTAAAATTCATTAAGCCATGCAGGAAAATATAAACATTAAATCGTGTCCGAACCGGTATGAACCGCCGATAACCTCGCCAGACAAAATAAAGATAGACATTCCAGTTAGTTTTTAAATATTTTTGAAGAACTGTTACTTGCATTTATGCATAAAATATTCATTAATTTTATAAATCGGAGTATTTTTTCACTTACTTTGTATTCAGTGATAACATTAATTTATTTACTATGCAATAAACACGAATATTTGAGAAAAGAAAAAAAAATAATAAAGTGTCATAATTATACTGTTACTTATCGGAACGAGTAGACTCATTTGGAACATCTTTAACAATTATCTGTTAAATTTATCGATGTTTATATGCCCTGCACCGCTTAATGGAATAAGGTATAGTTTATTTTATGTTACATTAGCTACATGAAGGCACTATGTTACTTATTAGTTAGTTGATGGGCGAGGTAGTACAGTGTGTCTTATCAGTTTTCAATATGTCACATGAAAAGAGCAGAAGCATTTGCAAAAGCTGGTGGAAGAGTTTTTTCAGACAAAGTCATGGATGACAGTGTTCTGTTCAGGATAACAATTTTAAATTAGGTAGTGATGAATACCAAGTGAGATCAGTGTTCATAATGATGAAGTCTCTTTTCAGAAGTCACAATTTACCACTTGCTATCAAAATCTCTCTTATTAGATGCTATGTATATTTTATGTTATTATACGGAGTAAAGGCCTGGATACTTTTCGAAGCTTCTTTAAGAAAACTCGGGGCATTCAAGATGTGGTGTTACAGACGTATTTTAAGAATTTCATGAGTGGATCGTGTGACTAATGTTGAGGTCCTACATAGAATAGGCAAGGAATGCAAGATTATTAACACCATCAAATAACACAAACTGGAATATCTTGGCAATGTTATGAGGAATGAACAGAGATACAGCTTGTTGCAACTCATTCTTCAGGGCAAGGTATTTGGAAAGAGAGGACCAGGGAGAAGAAGAATATCTGAGAAAGTGGTTTAATACATCGACAACCAGACTATTCAGAATAGCAGCAAGCAAAGTTAGGATAGCCATGTTGATTGCCAGCATCCAAAATGGATAGGCACTGTAAGAAGAATAATACCAAAAATGCAAAGTAATCTACAAAATTTACCTTCAACATCACAAATCACTATTACCCCTATTAGTGCCAAAGGAAGAACTTTGGATTGACAAAATGATGGTTCTGTTTAGAGTCCAACTGTCTTTAGTCATTAAGGCAGTATATCAAAAACAAGAGACATAACTGAAAATATATTCCAGATAATGTTGTCTTTCATTTAGGTAATATTTTAGATGTTGGACATATCATACACACAGAAAATTTTTATACTACTTTTACATTAGCAGTTAGGTTGCTAAACAAAAATACAAATTTGGTAGGAACTTTGAGGCAAAACAGAAAACTAAATCCAAAAGAAGTAATAGGTGCAACATTAAAGCAAGAGGAGATTATTGGGATGAAGAGTAACAAAAGTGTAGTAGTAACTAAGAGAGAGAACAAACATGAAGTGTTTATGCTGAGTACAAAGTATACTGCTGAAATGGTAGACATCCATCAAAGGGAACAAATAGTTGAAAAGCCTTTTCTGTTATTCACTACACTAAGGATTTTTCTTTCCCAAACACATAGTGGCTTTTCTTTTGCCTTTGTTATCATCCATGTTTCGCTATCATACCTCACCATGATACTAAGACTTCCAAGATAAACCCACTTCGCAATCGAATTTTGTACATAAACGCGCATGACGTCAATTGGTGATAAAAGTCACTTTTATCACCAACCTTTTATCATCACAGTCGGTAAAACATATATGGAAAGAAAGGGGTTTTTATTTAAATATTTAGAATATTAAGGGATGTTAGGTAAAATATCTGCAATTAAATCTTAAAAATATGTTATATATACATCTCTGTTAGCATAGCAATGTAAACTAAAGTTATATAAAAAAGCAAGAACTAAACATCCTTTTGCAAATGGAAATTTATATACAATGGATTGATTTATTAAAATAAAATACACTGTAATAATTTACAAGTTTATTTAACAATTTATTTTACAATTTTTAATATTGTCTTCTTCTTAACTTTGGATGTTTCTTTAATATATCTATTCAATTTTCTAATTTTAAAATATAATTTACACCTTTACTAACATTACATCTGAACACAGCTAAATCCATTAGCGATTTTAAATAATTCTTGGTTAATTTTAATGACCCTTTGTTAAAATTGTTAAAAATATGGTCCAGTTCATTACATTTAATTAGAAAATCTGGATATGGTTTAAGTAAACCTACTTCGAAAAGATGGTTACCCAGTAAACTGATGTCAACGTACAAGATAAACGATAAAACAAAACTAAATCTCAAGGTTAGTAGATATTTAAGTAGATACTTAAATATCTACTAACCTTGACTAAATCTGACAAAACTCCATACAACACAGAACATTTCTGGTGACATTTGTCGCCAAGTAACGTCACACAACTGATCGCGTGCATGTGGGTTTATCTGTAGTTTATAGTATCATGATACCTCACTATGAATCATATTGCTGTTTTATATAGTTGTATCTTTGTATGTTTTGTTCGTTGTTTCAATTATGCAATGTTTTGAAGGGCACAAAGACATCTGTTACCAGCTTGTATCCTATTGTTTATTTCTTGTGATCTATTATTGTCTTCAGTTATTGTTGTTCCATGTTCCAAGATACTTTAATTCTCTGACACACTCAAAGTTAAAGCAGCAGCAGTTATAGTAGCTCACATACATCTATTTAGTTTTGTTACTTAAATTTAAGACTATGGTGAAAAATTCCTACATGAAGCCATCCATATGGCACAGGATCACAGCCACTGAAGACAGCAAGCTAATAATATTTAGAGTGTCACCACACCCTCACAAGTGCTCAAGGAATGAGGAGGATGACTTAAATGTAACAATTAAATGAGAAAAACAAAATTAAGCTTACCCAAAACCACAATATCAACTGAAGTTGCCAAGATAAGAAGATACTTTATAAAAGCATGGAAGACCCCTACTTTCGGCTTTACTAGACCAACACAAACAATGGTCTCACTTATTCCATCAAAGTATGCTAAATCAGTATTTTGTTCGTAAGTCCATACATAAATATCACTATCCACAGTAAGCCAAGCTCTACTGATTTCACAAAAGAGACCCATCATGCAATGGCATTGGACCCGTGAAAAATGGTCAACAATTTCCGTTGGTAAAGGAATGCTATTAACACATTTAACTTGTGTCATATTGTTGATAACTTGTGATACTCCACTGATAGTTGGATAGTCATGATCTGCAAAACCACTAGCTGTAGATCCACTTTGGGAATTTATATTCATAAAATCTAACAGTCTTGGCGAATTATTATCCAATATTAGAGCATTTTCAATACTTCTAGAAGTTAATTCAATCTTTTGTACTGGATTTTGTGTATTATCAACTCTCGTTGTATTCATTTTAGGAGTGCGGTTTAACCTATCTTTCAATCTTCTATTACCAGTAGTAAATAAAAATATTTTGCCTTAAATTATAATAAAGTTTCAATTTGATAAAATTATGCACTACATAACCAATTCTGAATTTACACTATTACAGAAGTTAAAAAATAACTAAATTAATTTTGAACTTCCAAGCCGACTCAACTGAGTCAACTGATCAAGTAAATATGACAGATTCAAATTTTTGACAAAAAATGATTAGGTTAGAATTCTTCTCAGTCGGTGGCAATTTAGCCTTCAACATAGGTGGTAAATTTGTTAAAAACTGAAAACAAAACATGAAAAGTTTTAATAATTACAGAATTCTTAGTAAAAATTAAAAAATTATTTAAAATTAAAAATATTTCATCAAAATTTAATATAACTATAACTTTATTTTCTTATAAATAAACTTAACTGGCATTCTACCTGATATTTGACAGTTTATGAAGAAATTATATGTCAATCGTGTTAGCGCGAATATAATAAATACTGTTGTAGAATAAACATTTTCAGTAATTCTTGATTCTTGTTATCTAGTATTTTCTGGCTGTGATGTAAGATGGATAAATCAAAATTAAACGAGATGGTGAAGGCATTACAAGGTAAATAATAATGTAGACTTAATTGCCTTTTAAAATGTGAATAAATATTTTAGATGCTCATATGTATGAAGATAACATGACTGAACAAGATATGCAAGAGATTTATAAAGTAATATCAGATTCAAAAGATACTGCACAAGAAGAATCCCGAAAAAATAATGAAAGTGATGAAGATATGTTCGAAGAACCAACCATTCAAACTTTAACTAACGTCAAAAATGTAGATATAGAGATTACACCTAAAAATAAAGAGAGCAAAAGTGTATTTCAACCAAAAACTTGGACATTCGACAAAAAACCTTTGGGTAAAGTATACTTTGGGTAAATATAATCATCTTGTACTTTCCTTAAAGTTAACCAATGTTTTTACAAGGTTAACTTTAGTGGACTTTTTAGTGAATTGTTTTATAATAAATGTTAAAAGGGTTATTTTGCTAATTACTGTTATGTTACTTTAATGTGTTCCATAATTTATGAATTAATACTTTCTTTAGATGAAGGTTTAGTTTCAATCTCCATTTGCTTTGGCTAAAATAGTGTTTGAGGAATCAGATTCATGGATGATATCAATTGAAGTTGAACTGATAAATAACTTAAAATAAATATATATACTTAAAATAAAATAAGTGAACCTATCTTTTTAAATAGTAGTACATTTGGTTCACTGATCCCAGTCCCAACTGTCTATACTCTGTTTTTTAACCAGGAGGAGTAAACCAAAAAGACAGATTCACACTCAAGAAAGTTACTAGAAAAGTCACCAAATACATCTTCTTTTTTTGTTGATTATCTCGGCCTTGCAGTAATCGAGTAATCAATATTGGACAATCTCACACCAATGACATATAATATATAGACTCGGTAAACACTTTAAAAAGTGTCCAAAACATGAATACCTTTGTTATTGTTTATTGTTTTGATACGAAGATGCACGAAGTTCATGATTTCTTACGAAGCATCACGAAGTTGATCTTGTGTTTGAAAACATCATAGCCGCATGAAAACATTTTCTTCATTTTGTGTGACAAGCAAATTTTATTTTAAATTGTTGAGAGTTATTTACTTACTATTTTAGTACAATGCCATACTATTTTATCAAAATAATTATTTCTCTTATAAACGGGAACAAAAAGAAATCATAAATATTTAATTTTAATTAAAAAAATAATTATTGGCATTAACATATAAATGAGCACGCCGCTGTTCTGATAAACATACCTTCAACCTTGAGCCGAGATCTTTCGGACACTTGATTCTATAGCGAGAATAGGGGACTGCATAGTCTATATATTATACGTCATTGTCTCACACGTCAATTTTAACCTAACTTCGTTTATTTATGTTTGAATAATAAAATAATTTTTTTCAATTTACTTCCAATATATATATATTACAATTATTACAATAAAAAAAGGACGTTTTTCACATTTGGTCCCATGTATATATATTTAAATATCGGGTGATCCAGTTTTATAGATCTCTCAAGTCTATGGTATTTAATTATAATTTAGAGAATATTTTGATCGGGAGAGTCAATAATGTTACACATCTAAGTATGGTTTTTCTCAGAAATTTGTCTTTTAATAGTATGCTGGATTCTTGTTTAATTTTGACAGTAAGTTTTTCCCATTTGTTATCAACAAATAAAATTTACTAAAAAATACTGGATTTCTGTGAGATAATCAACAAATCCAATCTATCATGTTACATTCTTGCATAATTTTGCAGTTTTCTTGTGATGATTTACAACCAAGAAGAACAAAACCAACTGTATCATACAATCAAACTAAAACACACTAATGTTCTTTTACTGTGATGAAAACAAAATGGAAATGCTTCTTAACAAGTATACACTAAATTTAAAATATAGTTGCCGTTTTTCTTATGATAATTAGATATAAATAACATACATTTATAAATCTATAAACACTTTAAACTATATTTAGCATAAATATCATCTGGAAAAATATCACATTAAATACTATTCACATATCACCAAGTCCAAGTTACTACAAACAACTTAAACTTTAAACAGTCAGAAATCGATTTATATATTAGAGGAAAATAATAATAATAAATAAATTTCACAAATGTCATTAGTGTCAATATGTCATAATTTAGTGGAGTAAACTTGCCTGCGGTTGGACCAATTGCAAACAAGCATTACGGCGCGGAAAATTTGAATTACTCCTCCTGGTCAAAAAAACAGACCAGAGTAAATCTAGTAAACAGTGTTGCCAACCTTCTTGCACTTATTCCCACTTATGAAAAAATTCCCTCCCGTTTACAAAATGGGTTTTATAACAGAAATATAAGAATGTGTATATTTAGCCACGTTATGTTCAGCAAAAAGACACTTATCTTATTTTCATGCCTTTTACGACATTTTGGTGTTTTAAAGAAGTTGACTTTTGCCACATAAAATTTCTGCACTTTCCACATACATATTTTATTATTATGTGACAAAGTTTTATTATTATGTGACAGATTTTAAAACAAGGATTTTCTAACCACTATTCTATCTATTTTAATTTTTTTTATTTGATGACTACATCAGCCTCACTATTACTACTGTTACTGTTATTATACTTATTATTGTCACTCATTTTTACTGTTATCTGCTCTAAACTCCAATAATTATTAAAAAGTAACACTTTATACAGAAAGTGTCAAATAAGACAATTTCAATGGGTTTCCCACTTCCATTACAATATGTATTCAAACAACCATAATTTTATTTAAGTACCTAATAAATAAAGAGGAATTTATTGGGACAAGTGCTTACATCAGCCTTCATTAAGTTTTATTATATTTTGATTTGGGGAATGGTACCTATTTAGATCATAATATTACTGTAAAATAGATTACCCAACCATCATCTATTTTAATTTTTGACACTAAGTGCTTGAGAGTTATGATTACCAAATGATGTTTTGTTATGATTAAGAATACCCAAATAGGAGAACATTAGGAACATTTCAATTACTACCAGGAGGTGATGATATGTTTAATTCTGTCAAATATCTTTTTTAATTTTTTTAAAGAATATTTTACAATTTGCACTGGAGTAAATATTCCCTTTTGAGGTATTTTTTTCCCTTTTCCTTTTTTTGTGTCAAAAATTCCTGTAAAAAGGGAAATTTCCCTCCGGTTGGCAACACTGCTAGTAAATATCTTTTTACTATGTTGGACACATTTTGACATGGAAGTTACTATGCAACCAAGCACTTGTGCTCACAGCAAATTAATTACCTTAAAGTAAACAATTATTCAAATGGAGTTTGTTAATTAAATAAAACTGCATCAATTAAAACCTAGGTTTTCATAATTTTACTATTATTGGTAATTAACCACAATTTTAATTTAAAATGTTTAATTAATAATAAATAAAAGTACTAAACATAGTAAATTATATTAAAATCCCACAAGAAAATAGCTTCAGAACAAAGTTATCATGTTTATTTTTGAATTTTTCAAAGTTTTTAATAAAAATGAATACATATACACTCCCAATATTTATAATTATTCTTCTTTTTTAATTAAATTATTCTGCAACAGTAAGATTATTTCAGTTACTAAGAAGGTGTTGTAGGAATTTTTGTGTTGTCTGTTCTGTTTCTGATAATGGTTTTGTCAAAATATGCCAAGCTGAATGAACCAACTATATCAAATAAAGGAAATTGCTGAGTACTCTGTGGCTTTTCTGATAAAACACTATGTTTGGAATTTATCTGTATTGTACAGCCAGCAATTGAGGGATTTGTAGTTTACTGTTTTTATTTGCAAAAAAAACAACTCAAATTCCTACAATAATAAAATTAACAATACAAAAAAACTAAATAATTCCCATTAGTTACTGTTCTGTTGCTGTCTGCTAAATTATTAAATTATTTAAATTTTTCCCTAATTGGTGACAGTTTGTTTTTTGATGTTTTGATATTGTGTTTGACATAGTTTATAGAACAGTAGCAACAGGAAATTTTGGGTAACATGATAGAACTAAAAATTAGCTAAATACATTGTATACAAATAATAAATATTCGTAACACTCCCACCCGGTACAGTTCTATGGGAAAGAGAGACTACCACTTATTTTTCATCATCTTTTTGGTCTCCATTTATTGGTATTACTGCTAATTGTATAACAGGACGTTCATATATTCCATTTTTTGTTTGAATTATTGCTCGTCACACTTACCTAACCTATCAGGTGATTTTTTAACTTCAATTACCTTAACCTTTGGCCAATTGCATCTTGGTAAATCTTTATCACATATAATTACAATATTTATTTATTTATATATGGCATCCATTTACTTACAATTTTTACAAAGTTACATCTTAAATTTGAAATCCGGAAAGGTGTCCGCCAAGGCTGCATACTCTCTCCGATGCTTTTTAATTTATATGTTGAAAATATATTTGCGGAAGCATTAGAAGACACAGAATTAGGCATTAAGGTGAACAGCATACCAATTAGCAACCTACGCTATGTGGATGACAAGGTGATTATAACTGATAATTTGGAAGATAAGCAGTTGTTACTTGATAGGGTGAATAGCATGGATAAAAAATATGGCCTCAAAATCAACATTTTGAAAACAAAATATAGGGACATTAGCAGAAACCCTCCAGAAAACTCAATAATATGTATAGGTGACGATCGTATAAAACGTGTGAAAACTTTTAAATACCTTGGCATCGCAATCAATGACCAATCGGATCCACAACTCGAGATAAAAACCCGAATACAAATGGCAAGACAATCTTTTGTGAAATTCAGACCGCTCCTATGTAATCAAAACCTAAATTTCAAAATACGCTACAGAATGGTCAAGTGCTACATAATATGGTCCATCTTGCTTTATGGCATGGAAACGTGGACTTTGAAAAAAACATCTATCAACAAACTTGAAGCATTTGAAATGTGGTCATTGAGAAGAATGATGCGCATACCTTGGGTGGATAGAGTTTGAAACGATGACATCCTTAAGAGAGCTGGCGTGGAAAGAGAACTCTTTGAATTAATTAAAAAACGCAAGATTGGTTACCTTGCGAAGGTAGGAGAGAAGCCGGCCGCGCAAACAATTATCCTGGTTAATACAATACAGGCGACCTGTGTCACGCCGCCAAGAACAGAATTCTAGTAATGAGATAGTCGCCTATGCACTTTGGTGTATGGCATGTTAAGAAGAAGAAGACATCTTAAAAACAATAAATTATTAAAATAACAATCACAAGTTTTACAAAGTTACACCTTAACAACAATAAATTATTAAAATAACAAACACCTCAGAATAATACA